GTTTTAAGTAATTTTTATCTGCATCTGTTTTTTTTTTTTTTAACTTTTTTGATGGCTTGTGCACAATGTTTTCCATAGCAGCTGTTTTGCCCCTCCCCATAATTAGAGTAATGGATAGTCTGAACTGAGAAATGTATGTATTGTTTGATGAAACTATTATTGCAGGATGAAGGAGATGGGGCTGCCAATTGAGCCATATGAGTGGTACCTTGACTTGCGGCGCTATGGGACTGTAAAGCATTGTGGTTTTGGTTTGGGTTTTGAACGAATGGTTCAATTTGCTACTGGGCTCGACAATATTAAGGATTGTATGCCATTCCCTAGATCTGCTGGAAGAGCAGATCTTTGAATTAATTACTAGTCTATGTGTAGCGAATTCTTTAAATTTTATTTTAGGCGAATTTTGTACCTATATTTTTGGTGTACTTATCAAACCAATTCTTTTTTATGTAACTATGTATGGAAGGCCTATGCCAATTGTTTAGCTTAAGTTCTGAATTTTTCATAAGCAACTATGAGTACGCGCTTAAAGATGATCAATGGTCAAAGATATGATTCAATATGAAGATTTATAAGAATTGTCAACGGGTTCTAGCCAAGTGAAAAATGATATTGACTTGCAGGTTAGTAGTCTCATGTTCGAGCCTCCATGATACTGTGATAGCGTGTGAGTGAACAAAATTCGTGCACAAATGATACTAAAAATATAAAGGCATAAACTCCTATAGAAATTCTCAGCCGTAAATAGATGATTTGGAAATTTTTGACATGGTAGAAGAAAAGAAACATTTGTTAACTTTGGATGCATCAAATTTGAACAATCGAACATCATCACATCACATTATTGGATGTTCCATGTTTAATCCTTGATAAGTATATATTGAACAGATAATGTAGAAATGCTTTTAGAAAAATGCCCAAAGTGACATTTTTTCTTGTGAAGATTAATAGGGTGCAGGGCCAACATTGCACCAAACAAATTAAAATGGTTGTTTCTTAATTTGGTTCCATTTTTCTTGTTTATTTCATGCAAATTAAGACATTTGAATTCGTTTCTGACCACTAATATGCAAAAATACCGTTCAATAATTCCTTATACCGTGCAAAACCAAGCATGTAATGACCCATTTTTAACCAACAACAACTGTTTGATTCTAATAATAACCCAAAATGCTCCCTATATATTGAACTCTCCAATTCATCTACATTCATCAGCACCTGCAGTAAACAAAGAAGAAATAAAAAGTTACTTCATATTCATCTCTAAGGCAGCTGTTGTTGATCAACTTATTCTCACTTCAAACAATTCATCATGGAAATGAAGAAGATCTCCCTTGCCATCATCGTCGTCGCTGCCTTCGTGAGCGTAGTCTTGGCAGCTGACCTCCCCAAGGACCCACTAGCAGCTGCTGCTGCTGCTGCTCATGGTGTTGGTGCTGCTACCCCCAAGGCCTCAGCAGCCCCCCTGGGCTCAGCCGGTACCACCACAAGCTCAGCAGCCTCCCCAACTCCTTCCTCTGCAACCGGCACACCAACCTCAGCTCATGCCCCCAGCCCATCAGGCGCCGCCTCCGCCATGCCCGTTGTCGGCTCTTTGGCTGGTGCCTTCCTCATGTCCTTCTTTGGCTATTACCTGCAGTAAGCTCAGGGAATACAAAATTCTTGATGAGACTATGAGAGTTAAATAAGTACTTAGAAGAAGGGATTCCCAAGAGAAGTAAGGATGTTTATTTATGTTATCAATGTTGTTGAATCTTAATGATTTATATATTCTACTTGCTTAAATTCAGTTGCCTGTATTCTTTCAAAACTTTGTTCTATTCTATGGCTCACCTCATAAGGCCAAAACTAAAAGAATAAATGTAGCATGCAATTACAATGCATATTTAGACAGCAGTAAAAGTTTTCACATCCAATTTCTATTACGGCCAATGTTCAGTTACATTCAGCAATATGTCATTTCCGACTCTAATCTTCAATGTTCAAACACCACTCTGGTTGACAAACAAATTTATGTCAAGAAGATGAAACAAATACCTTTTCTTTTCTTTTCTTTTGTAAACAAGATTGAATAAATTACAGACAAATGTCCATCAAAAATTAGGATCCTCCATTAGATTTTTGTGCAGACATGAGACTCTTTGTCAACCAGATGGCTGTTTCTCTAGACGAGACTGCATCTTCTCCGAATGGTCTTAGCACCCCAGCAAGCTCTTCAAGTTTGTCCTGCTTTAATAGCCGTGCGCATACCTCTAACAGAGACTCCAGGGCGTCAGCTCTTTGCTGACTTGGATTTTCCCAGTCACTCTTGGAATCATCACCACCTATTGCAGTTAGTGTGCTCAAGGAGATGTCACTTGGTGCCTGATTAACCACATGAGCATCATCTTTTTCTGTCTGCGTGGAGCAATTATTATTGTCTGCCTTTGCTCCCACTTCATCTTTTTCTTTCTGTATGGAGCAATCATTTTTGCTTTCAGATGACAAGTAGTCCAGGTGACCACCTACAGGATATCCGTTGGAACTTTCCTTCGGTAAACAGCTTCCGGGTTCCACCTCAGATTTAGCTGATGACGAGCATTTATCATCAGGGGATCCAACTTTGTTGGCACAGCCTACACTGGGCACCACCAATTCCCTACAATTCTCTTCTTTAGCACCCTCTCCTTCTGTTCTAACTCCTTCAGGATCTTGTTGGTCCCTACATGCCTTTCCATCTTCATTGTTTGGAGTCTTGACATCAACCTCTGGCAACTGTTTGAAATTTGTAGCAGCAGGTTCTTCTCGTTCTTCATTTTGAGAATTTGGTGTGCTCTCTGATGTAATTTCAATGTCAGACTCGGTATTTTCCTTTTGGTGTATGCTGATAGTGTCAGCTTGCTTATCTCCATTGCAAACAGATGCTTCTGAATCAGTTGGTCCATCTTTTGAAGCATCAGTGGCATTGGATAATTCCATAGAACAGCCAACCCTCTTCATTTCAAGCTCTTCTGCACTAACTTTGAATACAGGGTTATCAATGTTTGTTATATACCTATGTGTCACATCAGCACCGCTCTCAAATGGATGGACCTTTTCCAGGTGGTTCAGTGTTCCAGCCTCTTTGTCTCTGTTGTCTTTGCCACCACTGGGTTTGCTAGGCGGTGATTTTCTAGTAGTTTTATCTTTCAAGTTGTTTACTGGCTTTACTGGAAGAAAAACAGATGATGCATTGCGACATTGAAGAAGGTATGGTTGTAAGTGCGGATGCCTTAATAACTCTGCAGCCTAACGTAATAGATTATGGGAGTATTAGAAAAAATAATGGTCCTCAAATTCTTTACATCATGCAAGTCAGGGGTTAGCTAACTCACTGTTGGTCTGTGTTCTGGACTCTTTCTCAGCATGCTCTTTATGATTTGTTTCCTGTGATCCGGAGGCCATACCATATAAGTTGATAAATTAGAAAAGAAAAGACAGGAAATATGCAGTTAGAATTTTCATTTAAAATAGCACCATTATGTCTGATGATTTTGAAGATATTACTCACAGTGTGGAAGAATACACGATTGGTAGAGGAGAAATGGTGGATCTGTTAATTTTATTGATAAGCCCAGCCATGTCCTGTTTAATCAGGTAATTTATAGGATTTATTTACTCAAAAATATATGCCAACAGGCTTAGACGCATCTTTGGCAGCCAATAATATCAATGCAACATCAAATGCTCAAGCTTATACTTACAGGAGCTCTAAATGCAGGCTGATGTGCAGCAATCTCAAACATACAGCAACCTTAAAACCAATAGAAAATAAAAATTATATCTATTCAAAATCATGGGCATGAGCCTGTAAAAATATAACTATAAGATTCTAGAGTTCTTACCAAGCGACCATATATCGGATTTATAGCCATAAGGTATATCTGCAAGGAGCTCAGGACACATGTAGTTTGGAGTTCCAACAACCTATGTTGAAAATATAGGGATTGAAAATGAACTGACATAAGTGGATTTAGTGAAGTAGTTGCAGGTTTTAACAGACATTCTAGAAGTTCAGCCACAAATACTGAGGAACTATCCTCTCTAAGATAAGGTGGCCTTGTCAAACTTGGAATGTTTGAATATAGTGCTTGGTGGTGGGGAAGCAAGAGAAGTTTGTAACTATTCTATGGAAGTTTTCATGAAAGAAGAGACGTACAAAGTTTTAAGAGACAGTTCTGTAGGTGGGCATAAAGACAATTAAATAATGTAAATGCGAGTTCATACCGAAGAAGTAAGATCTTCCGTGTTGAGTAGTTTTGCGAGTCCAAAGTCACCTACAAGGTCCATGTAAGATATACATATCTTTAAAAACATCAATACATGGAAGCCAAACCTTATGCAGAAAAACATCGCTTCTCTTAGCAATCATTATGTCTACATACCAAGTCTGATGTCATTGTCCTTTGTAAGGAATATGTTGGAGCACTGCAAACATTATATTTGTATTAAAATAAACATCATATGTATTTATCTTCACTGCAACTACACGTACACTATATTACCTTAAGATCCCTGTGAAGTACACGATTGGAGTGCAAGTAGTCCACAGCTAGCAACAATTGAGTCAGCCATTTGCAGAGCTTCTGCAGGGCAAAACAGAATGGCAACAGAGAGCAGTTGGTTTCTACCCTTTACATAGGTACATATACAGGACGTGAAGTTTCACTGATTACCTCCTCTGGAAAAAATTGTCCTCTGGCCTTCTTTACCATCTCAGCTCTGTTAAGAAATGAGTTGTTTCTCATTCGTTAATCATGGGAAGTATTGTGATTGATTCTCTAATTCTTATGTAATATTGAAAAGGAAAAATCAATACTCCCTGAAGTTCCTTAAATGAGATCTTAATTCTCATCTAATAGATTAGATATAGACGGTTGAGATGCAGCACGGCTGTCCAATATCTGGTCTAAGGACTGAGAAACAAGACTTCATTGAAGGACCTTATTTATGGACTTTAGAAGAACAGGACTGAACAGTATATATACGTAGTTTAACATGTTGACTATGAAAAATATGATACTAAATTTCCTCCTATATTTCGTCCAAAAATCATGTGGATTATCAATGAGTTTCAAGCTAATATTTGGATGAGAATTAAGGACTGAAATAAGTGTTTTAACTTGTTACAGAAGCAAAAAAGATGTTTTGAAAAATAGCTGTTTCAAATCAATTCCTCATTTAAAGAAGAAAAAGGGCATTCTAGCATACCAGAGAAAACATATCTAGAACAGCAATGATCCACATTGTTGTTACTTACATGTCACCTCCTTCGCAATAGCCTGTAACAATGCATACGCAGTCTCCCTACAGAAAATATAAACGTTTAAGCATGCATGTATGAAGTGAAATATTGTTACAACAGCGAAAGACTTCTCCAAATTTATACTCTCAAGCCGTATTCAAATATAAAGAACTTTATTAAAGAATCACAGATTTACCTT